GTCGTCAGCTTGGTTTCGTCTTCCAGGATTACAGCCTCGTGCCCACCCTTACTGCTGTCGAGAACGTGTCTGTGCCGCTGGAACTCGACGGGGTGTCGGCCACTCGTGCCCGCAAGGCCGCCGAGATCGCCCTCGAGCGCGTCGGCGTCCCGGAATTAGTTGATCGCCACATCGAGAAGATGTCGGGAGGGCAGCGTCAACGAGTAGCCATCGCCCGCGGCATCGTCGGGGATCGCCGCGTTTTGCTGGCCGATGAACCCACCGGTGCTCTTGATTCGGTCACCGGCGACGAAATCATGGCCCTCATCCGGACCCTCGCTGACGAGGGAGTCGCCGTCGTCCTGGTGACCCACGAGGCTCGTCACGCGGCGTGGGCTGACCGGGTGATTTTCCTGCGAGACGGAAGGCTCGTCGACGAGTCTCAGGTCGTCAGCGATCCTATGGAACTACTCAACGACAACCCGAAACGTGGCCGGTGGTGATGTCAGCCCGGACCACGCCCGAGATGCCGACTAGCGCGGTTCGCCTCTCCGGAGACGCTATTGCCCGAGGACGGCCCCACCGCCGTCTCATCAATCGCCTGGCCGTACGTGACATCGGCAGGCACAAGTTGCGCTCCCTACTTATCGTGATGCTCATAGCGTTACCGGTGGCCATCATGTCCGGATTAGGGGTGCTCCTGCGCTCGGATGGCAGTGTCTCCGGCAGCCAGGCCCTCAATAACTATGGTGACGCCGACATGGTCATCAGCCCGATATCAAATTGGGATGGTCACTGTTCCCAGCAAGGGCCGACTAACACGTACTGTGACGACGGTGCCGAGCCAGATGCGCACCAACGAGCCCAGCAACAGACGGCTCTGGCCAACCTGAGGCTGCCTGGCCACAAGCTGCACCCCTTGAGGACTACCGAGGCTAGCGTTTCCTGGCGGCTTGCCACCTTGTCGGCAACGGTTAAGGCGATGGACCTGACGACTATGCGTCCCTACCGCATGGAGTTCCCGCGTGGCCCCATGCCTACCGGCAATAACATCTGGGTGACCACCGGTGCTGCGAAAGATTATGGCTGGTCGGTGGGGTCCCGAGTAACCGTCAACGGGCACCGGTACACCATCACTGGGGTGGTCCGGGAAGAATGGCCGGGGAATGGTCCAACGTTCTGGGTAGCCCCTCGCAGCCCGTTGGCCCGTGGTGGAGAGCTCACTTATTACGTCAACGGTGCATCGCTCACGAGGCAACAAGTCGAGAAGCTTAATGCGTCCGGGGTGGGCGTCGCCGACCGCCGTGCCGAAGAGAGTGCCAGTCAAGGAGACACCTTCGAACGGGACATGTTTGCGCTGATACTGGCCGCTGGGGTGCTCTCGGCTATTGTCGTAGCCACTATCGCAGCCGCAGCATTCGCTATTGGTGCTCGTCAACAGCGGCGGATGCTCGCTCTGCTCGGCATTACCGGGGCCGCTCGACGTGACCTCATGGGTGTGATGATTCATCAGGGACTGCTGTTGGGCCTGACGGGGGCCCTCCTCGGGGTGGGCCTCGGCGTGGGTATGGGCAATGGCGCGGTGGCCATTATTCGAATGGTGTACCCCGACTACATCACCTATGGGGTCGATTGGGGATATGCCGCCGTCGGGTCCGTGGTCGGTCTGCTTGCGGCACTGACCGCTTGTTGGTTCCCGGCTCGTGACGTTGCCCGTCAAGACGCCCTCATGGGGGTCAAACATGCCGAATCTGCGGCACGGCCTGCGCGGCGACCAACGTTAGCGATCGTCATCGCGGCGATCGGTCTGCTCGCTGGTGTCGGTGGCGTCATATATGGCCGTCGTGGAACGACCGGCGACGTGATGGTGCGCCTGAATATTGGCATTATCGTCACCATTGTCGTGCTGTACCTGGCCGCTGTGTCTGCCATGCCCTGGTTGGTGGACAAGGCGTCGGGACGCAAATCGTCGCGGTTGCCGATCCGGTTCGCGCTGCGCGATCTTAACCGTAACCGAGGGACGGGCGGTACCAGGGGTTGCCGCCTCCATGGCTATCACCGTGCTGGCATGCGCCGCCGTTACTTTTTGCGACAGCCTCGCCATCCAGGACAAGGCCGAATACGTCCCGGAGTTCGGAGACCACATTGGGGTTCTCGCTGGTGAACACGATGACGAGGTCAGGACTTCGGACGATCGTGTTGCCGGGGAGATCAAACGGGTCACTGCGGTTTTCGGGCCGCACGTGAAATATCTACGACCGGAGGAGCCGGTGACGTGCGGTCAGGACGGGAAGTACTGCACTAGCAGTCTCGAAGTCACCCCCAAAGTACCTAACGGAGCGATGTCGTCGACGGTGGCCATCGACGACGGTACTCTGTATGAGCTGCTGACTGGGGAGAAGGCAGACGGCAGGGTGATGAAGGCTCTCGATGATGGAGTCGTCCTGTTCTCGCCCGATGCCACACGGGTTTCGCAGGCCATCATCTCCGACCATGATGAACGTCACAGTACCGGCACCACCGTGCTTCCAGCTATCCATGCTCCCCACCATGCCCTGGGATACGGTGTGCCCAATCTCATCAGCCGTAGAACGGCAGCCAAGGTGCTTGGGGTAAGCCCCGACAACGTGAAAACTCAATCCACAACGGTGTGGTTACGGTTGCCGCACATTCCGACCGCGAAGGAAGGGGACCGTCTGCAACATTCCCTCATGGACGTCACTGGGTCCTCCTCGGAGTTCATATGGGAGGAGGGGTACTCGGATGTTTTCGGGACCGTGATGCGCTGGTCGGCGGTAGTGGGCACGCTGTTGGCGGTATGCGTGGGCGCCGTGGTATTGGTCTTGACTCTGTCCGACTCGAGGGGGTCGCGCACCGCCATCGCGTCGGTAGGGGCGTCAAAGGCGACCTTGAGACGAATGGTGGCAGCACAGGCCCTCGTGACGACAGGGCTTGGTCAGGTCCTTGGCTTTCTCGTGGGGTTCGTGCCGGTTGCCGTTATGACGTGCGTCGGCCGCCGCTGGCCGATGCCAATGCCACTGCCGTGGCTGGCGCTCATCGTGTTCGCCCCGCCGGTGTTGCTGGCTTTAGTGACGATGGTCGCCGTACCAGTGCCGCGACCACGGATGCAGAGACTGGACTGACGCCTACCGTGCCCAAGTTCCCGTCACAGTCGGGTCAGTCTCAGTGTTGTTGAGAGCTGGATGGTGCGGATCCGCCGGGGGCTGGGATCGCCGACGGCGCCGTTCACGCGGGACGGCTTGACCAGCACCCCAGGAAGCGAGGGTCGCCAACCGGGACCGCAGATCCTTCGGGAGAGTGAATGGACGGGCCAGCAGCGCGCCGAAGCTGCCTCCGACGGCTAGCGCCACACCGACGAGCAAGGCCTCTAGAAAGAGGGTCCACCCAGCGCTCGAGGTGCCGCCGGTTTCGTTTTGCGCATTGACGATCATGTACAGGGCTCGGTACATCATGACGCCGGGCATGAGGGGGACGATGGCGATCGTCACCAAACCTAGCTGAGGTACCTTCCAGCGCTTCGCTCCTAGGCCTGCGATAAAGCCTGCCACCATGGCTGCGAGTCCTGACGCTGCTGACACAGATCCCGTCAACTGCATGCCGAGGAGGTATCCGGCCCAGGCTGCTGCCCCCAAGGCCGCACAGATCGCCAGGGTGCGGTATCCAGCGTGAGAAGAAACGCCGAAGGTCACGGCGATGACCGCGGCAGCGACCATCTGGAGGACCGGGTTGGTGGAGAACCCCAGGGCGGGCGAGATGTACCCGGGCACTCCGAGCCTCAGTCCGATCCACATCGCCGTGATGACGCCGAGGATGACGCCACCGGTTTGTACAAACCCTTCCAGGAATCGTCCGGAACTTGTGACGACGTAGCCGTCGAGGGCGTCCTGGGAGGCCGCGACGAAAGAGCCGCCGGCCAGCAGGGAGACGATTCCGGCGGCGACGATGAGGGAAGGAGACAGCGGCAGAGGGTGATTGGAAGCCGCCATGTACACCATGACGATAAGGGCGAACGCGGTCGCGATGGCGCCACCGGCCGCTTGAGCAAAGAAATTCGTGATCCGCTTGCGCGCCATCGCCTGAACGGTGGCGTCAACGATGCACGTCGAGAAGAAGCTCAGCACGCCGTCCATGACGGTACCGCCGAACAAGGTAGACAGCCCTGCCCCCATGAGACCAATGTTCATAGTGACGAACCATTGACGGTACAACCGGGGGCTGCGGCAGTGGTATCAACGCAGAGTACTGAGACTTACGGTCTTGTCGCAAATGTCATCGACGAGCAACTGCAGTTCGCCCAGGCGCTGGTAATCGTTGCTGCGGGAACGAACCACCCGCAACGCGGTGATGGGGTCTTCGTCCAGTCCACGATGCTGGGTGACGATGACGGACGTGTTCGTAATATCGATGTGGACGGTCACTCCGTAGGTCGCGGTGATGCGCAGGGCTATTGCGACGGCCTCAGACGCGGAACCTCCAACCGAGATCGCCATCACCGCGACGCGGGTGACGAGGTCGACGACACGTCGAGCTTGCATGATCGCCATCTCAGCGTCGCCCAGGTTGAGAGCCAGAGTCGGCTCTACCGGTGTCCTGGCGCGAAAGAGTTTTTCTAGCGGGACGCGTCGGGTTCGGTGCGCCCTTGGTGGCCTGGAATGGCGGAGTTTGGCTTGGCCATTGTGGGGAGAGGTCGTCCTTGAACGGGTCAGGGGCCACGACCTCGAAAGGCTGCCTACCGGGGCTATCTTCGTCGGGTTATCCTCATCGACCGGGGGTTTAGAAGGGGTGGCACTCGACTGTGGTGGGGTAGCGGGCTGGGCGGAGGCCTGGCCTGGACGGAAAATACGGGCGTCAATGCCGTCAGCAGTTCGTGGGATCGGGTCGTCGCCGTGCCAGGAGCGCAAATGATTTCGGGACGCGGATCCGCTACGAGCACCCGACCGCTTCTCCGCCATCTGACACCCTCCTCGCGCCACGCAGGAACGCCCTGCAGGACCATTGTGATGGTCTTTACCGACGGTACCCAAACGGGGACGGATTCGGGACTTGTCGATAGGGTGACGGGGTGCTCATCGCGACCGACCTCGACGGAACCTTCCTCACCCCCGACGCCACCGTGTCTCCTCGAAACTGGGCTGCCGTGAAGGCCGCCGAGGCAGCTGGTATTCACGTCATTCCGGTAACGGGCCGGGCTATTGGTGGGCTGCGCGTCATCGGTCCGGTCTTTCACCGGTATGCCCTGGTGTCTAACGGTGCTGTCGGTACGGACATGTCCACTGGCGAGACTCTCTTCACCGAGACGATGTCGGCTCGTACCGTGAAGTCCTACGTCGACCAACTCACTGCCGAGTGTCCGGGGGTGGTGTTCTGTGCGGAGGTTGGGGATTCTTCAGTGTTCCTCGTCGAGGAGGGGTACGACGAGATTGTCCCTGCCTTTGAGTCTGAGAACGATCCCGCCGAGCACGTTCTCGTCAGTCGTAAGGAGCTGTGCTCTAGTGAAGCCGTCAAGCTCATGATCGTGCACCCGACAGTGCCTGCCTCAGATATCTACCAGTTGTCTAGGCGCCTGCGGGTGCCCGGAGTTCACGCTACGTGGGCGGGGTTCACGGTGGCCGAGGCCGGACCGGCCGACGTGACGAAGGCCAGTGGTCTAGAACGCATCTGTCAGCTCCTCGGCGAGGATCGTGCCAATGTCGTCGCTCTGGGAGACGGGGCCAATGACGTTGAGATGTTGCAGTGGGCCGGTGTGTCTTACGCGATGAGCGGCGCCAAGCCGGAGGCGATTGCTGCCGCGGACAGGCGCGCTCCCTCCTGCGAAGAGGATGGTTTCGCCGTTGTTGTCGAGGAGTTGCTGGCATCTCGATAATCTCGCAGTGTGCTCATCGCAACTGACCTTGACGGAACCCTCCTGACTCCTGACGGCACTATCAGCCCTCGCACTCGTGATGCCATTCGCGTCGCAGAGAAGGCCGGGGTGCCGGTGGTGCCAGTCACCGCACGGCAGATCTACGGTATTGAGAAGTGGCGTGACGATTTAGGCCGCTGGGCACTGTGCTCCAACGGCGCCATTTGCTGGGACCTCCAAGCTCGCACCGTACTCTTTCGCCAACTCATGCCGGGTGCCGTGGCGAACGAGTTCGCCCACCGTCTCCTCGATGCCGCTCCCGGCACCCGCTTTCTGACGATCAAGGACGACGGGCTCACTTTCGCCTCCCAGCGCGGCTATGCCGAATTGACGACGTTCGCTGACCATTCCCGCGAGCCTTCCGACATGCCCGCCCTGGATCTCGACGAGGTGCTTGACGGAGACTGCCTCAAAATGGTCGCTCGCCATCCGAACCTGTCCGTCGAGGAACTCGCTGCGCGCGCGGCGAGCGTCGGTATGGCTGACGAGGTACACGTCACTACCTCGGGGAAGCCGATGCTAGAGATTAGTGCTAAGGGGGTGGCCAAAGACTCCGGTTTGTCCATGCTGTGCGATCACCTGGGCATTGACCGGGCCGACACCGTGGCTTTCGGTGACGGAGCTAATGACGTCGAGATGCTCGCCTGGGTGGGAGACTCCTACGCGATGGCTCATGCGGTGCCGTTGGCGGTCGCAGCGGCCCGTCACCGGGCGCCGTCGAATGCCGAGGATGGGGTTGCGCAGGTCATCGAGAAGCTGCTGTCCATGAGAGAACGGTGACGAACCATTCGGAGCTCAACATAGCGGTTGACAGGAAGTATATGAGGTACGGCCCTCTCGTAGGCGATCTTAATATAGGTGTCGTTAGCGTCTTGACTATAATTAAAGTCTGGAAATATGCTTAGCCGCCGACGGCCCTCCGAGCGGCGGGCATTAGGCTACGAGGACAAGCAGCGTGAAGAATCGAACGGTTGCAGGCGTGACCCTAGCGGCCACCTGTCTCGGCGTAATTGGGTGCGCCAGGTGAGGGCTTTTATGTGGTTGGAGTTTTCTCCGGATCCGATGGTGACCCAGACACTACAGCTCGAAGGGGTTCACTTCTCCTATCCACGATGCAAATCCCGGCTTTTCACTGAACTGAACTTAATTCTGGGTGATACCGGGCCAACGGTTCTCTTGGGCCTTAATGGTGCGGGGAAAACTACCCTGCTGCGGCTATGTGCGGGCGAATTTCAGCCCTCGGCGGGGTTAATAGCCGTGGATGGGGGTAAAGACCCTCGTTCCGTTGTGTCTCTGATGCCCCAGCAGATCAGGCCAATTCCTGGGTTCCGGGTAGTTGAGCAAGTGGCATATTCAGCTTGGCTCGGCGGGTGTAGTTCGTCCCAGAGTGAGAAGCGGGCAATTATGGCGCTAGAGGCAGTCCAATTAGAAGACCGTCTGAAGGACAAGCCCAATCAGTTGTCCGGAGGACAGCTGCGTCGAGTTGGTTTGGCTCAAGCTCTGGTAGGAGAACAGCCGATTGTTTTGCTCGATGAGCCAACTGCTGGCCTTGACCCAGCGCAGAAGCACGTATTTCGGAATCTGCTCACGGAGCTCGGCGCTACTCGTAGTTTTGTGGTGTCCACTCACGATACTTCCGACGTTGACTCAATGTACAACAGGGTCGTAATACTGCATGAGGGGCACATTGCCTATGACGGATCTACCGATGAATTCCTCATGCATGGTGCGGGATCTTCTCACGCAGCAGAGGCGGCATTTCTTGATGTCGTGGGTGTATCGGAGCAGGCGCGATGACGTGGCATCTTCTGCTCCGACGGTCTTATGGCGTGCGTCTTGTGCCAGTAATGCTGCTCATGTGGTGGTATGGGGCATTTGGGAACCCTCCGGCGCGTTCAGCTATTGAGCGGGCTTCCAGTATACTTTACGCATTCATGATGGTTGCGGGGCCTGTTGCGCTGAGTACTTGCTTGGAACTTCGGAGATTTACCGAAGGTCAGATTCTAAAGAGATTATCCAAGCGGTCTCGGCTGAGAATTGTGGCGCCGTGGTGGGAAATTGCTGTTCTTCCTTCTACAATAGCTGTAGGCGTTTTCGTTCTGCTTTCAGGATCTGGGGATCAAATTGTAAAAATGTCGTTGATTGGTGTTGTCTGGATGCTCGCGTGGGGTGTCTTTGGCGCCGTGATTGGAATGTCATGGCCATTGGCATTATCGGCACCGACGGCTCTTTTGATCCCATTTATACTCGTTTTGTATGGACCGGCCGTATCGGTACTAGAAATGAGGTATCTGGTTGGCTATTACATGGACTGCTGTAATGCGGGGGAGATGCTAGATCCGCAAGTCCTTGCGGCCGGCATGACGATGGCGTGCGGTGTTCTTGTCGTGTCGATGGTGGCGTTTATTGCGAGTAGGGGGCGCCATCATTCAAGTGTCATCGTGACCGTGATCTTGATTATCGGGTTGGTCTCAACAGTGTTAATTGGGTTCCGTGAGGTGGAGGGTGTGGGTGCTTTTCCTGCCGTGCCTCGAACTGGAACGCAGACGTGTTTGAAGGATCCCACGGTGTGTACCTGGGATGCGCACGACCTCCAACTGCTGGGGCCCATAGTGCAGAAGGCAGATGCTGCGTGGAGGGCTAACGGGGTTCACGTTCCAAGGGCATACCGGCAGGGCATTGGGCAATCGACTCAAACAATCGTTTGGTGGTCGGCGTCGGCAGAGGATGTGTCTGAATCGGCATTACCCGCACTATCGGCAGTCGCGGAGGGCCTGGCTGTTGCTCCATGCCAAGTTCGTCAAGACGAAGTGGAGACCTGGGTGGAAGATGTTCAGGAGCGTGTTGTCGCGTGGTTGGTGGAACATTCAGGCATCGAGGTGCGAGACACGGCATTATCCCCAGAGACTCGTGAGTGGTTGAAATCCATCGATCGGCTGCCGATCGAGAAGCAGGTCAGCATCATTGAACATGATCGAGCCCGGCTTCGGACATGTTGAGCGGTAATGTGGTGCTGGGCTGGAGAGCCTGGGCTCGAAATCGATCCCTGTTATCTTTGCTTGCAGCGACTGTGGTTTGTTGTGTCCTCATCGGACTCACTTCCGAAGTCATAATCGCGATCCCCCCGTTTTTGACAGGCAGAGGTGTTGACGTTTCTAACGCCGCCGTGGTTCCCCTGTGCGTGGTCATCGTGCAAGGTTGGTGTCTTTCGCGGCGTGACACGCGGCTGGAGGCAGGATCCGAGCGGCGGACTGCACTTGCCGATTGTCTCCTGTCAACGACGCCGGCCGTCCTTGTTGGAATTGTGGCGTATGTGGGAAATCTCCCCGTCGGAATGGTTGCCACGCGAAATACTGTCGGATTGTCTGGGGTGACCCTTCTTGCCAACGCACTTGGCGTCACGAGGCTGTCATCCCTACCTGCGACTATCTGGGTTCTCATGAGTCTATTGGCGGGGAGTACCGCAAGTTTCGAAGCTCCGTGGTCTTGGCCGGTGAAGGATCGCACAGATGTACTGTCTGCAGTGCTTTCAGTGGCTCTGTGCCTTCTAGGGATCTCTGCCTCGCTGGTTAAGCCCCGCCCGTGGCGTAATCGTGGGTGATCCTCATACGCGAGGTCAACTGACCAGTGTGGGCAGGTGGGGTCCCTCCGGCACACGAGCATGACGGTGAGGCGGGACCATCGAGACGGGAACGAGCAACACCTCAAGCACACTTGGGTGTTCTTTTTTCATGTCAACCTAGCTCGTGTTACCCATGACGGAAGACGTCTAGGACGCCGGATACCCAAGGTGGCTATTACCGCGCACAGAGCATCTCAGTGGTCCGTTGTTGACTCTGAAACCTGATTGCCACGGGTGTTTGCGGCAAGGCCTCGATCAAGTGACTACGTGCAGGCCGGGGGAGCTCCCAGGTGTGTGGCATTTCGGTAGGTGATGGGCGTTCCTGGCGTCTGTGGTGGCAACAATGCCGTAGAGCGACATCATTGCCATCATGCCCGGAGACCCGCCACAGTTTTCTCCAGTTGGAGTAAGATGCTTGCGACCGCAAGGCAGTGATGGGGCGATCACCCCGGAGTCGCTGGAAGAACGGGCGAGTGCATACACCGCCTTAGTAGAACCAGCAGCGATCGACTAACCGAGAGGCCGACGTCGTTGACGTCGTGCAAGGAGGGTGGTACCGCGGGTACCCGGAGAATCCGGTGTGCTCGTCCCTCGGTGACCCGAGACGAAGGACCACCCGCTGCGATGACCGATGTGAACCCAGTTCGCTCCGACAACTGCAGGCAGTACAACAACGTGCCGCCACAGATTGACCTGCCCGCGATGGACCACGAGATCATTGATCTGTGGGCTCGTCAGCACACTTTTGACAAGTCCTTGGAGGCCACCAAGGACGGCCAACCGTGGACCTTCTTTGAGGGCCCGCCGACCGCTAACGGCCAGCCAGGTACTCACCATGTTGAGGCCCGGGTGTTCAAAGACATCTTCCCGCGTTTCAAGACGATGCAGGGGTTCCGCGTCGACCGCAAGGCAGGCTGGGACTGTCACGGTCTACCCGTCGAACTGGCCGTTGAAAAGGAGCTCGGGTTCTCCGGTAAGCCTGACATCGAGAAGTACGGCGTTGAACCGTTCAATGCCAAATGCCGCGAGTCCGTTACCCGCCACGTCGATGCCTTTAGCGAACTCACCGAGCGAATGGGCTACTGGGTCAATATGGATGAGGCGTATTGGACGATGAGCCCGTCCTACGTCGAGTCGGTGTGGTGGGGTCTTAAGCGAATCTGGGATAAAGGTCTGCTCGGCGAGGACCACCGCGTGGCCCCGTACTGCCCGCGCTGTGGCACCACCCTGTCCGACCATGAGCTGGCTCAGGGCTACCAGGATGACCGCGACCCGTCGATCTATGTGCGATTCCCGGTGACGTCGGGCCCGCTGGCTGGACGCGCCAAGCTGCTGGTGTGGACGACCACCCCCTGGACCCTCGTATCGAACACTGCTGTGGCCGTCCACCCCGAGGTGCGATACGTCGTCGCCCACCGGGATCCGGTTCCGGAGGGATCCGATGCCGTCGCTACTGCTTCCGCAGAGGATCCGGCCTCCCAGGACCTCATCATCGCTGAGCCACTGTTCGAAAAAGTGCTGGGTGAGGGGTGGAGCCTTACCGGCGAGTCCTTCTTGGGCTCGCAGATGGAATTGTGGACCTACGAGCGCCCCTACAATTTCCTGGAGTGGCCGAAGACTGAGCGGGTGACGGTTGATGGACGTCCCACCCCTGCTGACGCAAACTTCGTCGTTCTAGCCGACTACGTCACCGTCGAAGATGGCACCGGGCTGGTGCATCAGGCCCCAGCCTTTGGCGCCGACGATCTACAGACCTGCCGTCGCTACGGGTTGCCGCTGGTCAACCCGATTCGCCCCGACGGTACCTTCGAGGAATCCGTGCCGCTGGTGGGCGGGCAGTTCTTCAAGACCGCCGACAAGCCGTTATGCGAAGATCTCGACAGGCGCGGAGTTCTATTCCGCTTGGAGATGCACTGGCACTCCTACCCGCACTGCTGGCGCTGTGATACCCACTTGATTTATTACGCCCAGCCCTCGTGGTATATCCGCACGACGAAGGTTAAGGAACAACTGCTGGCCCAGAACGAGGTCACCACGTGGTATCCCGAGACGATCAAGCATGGCCGTTTTGGTGATTGGCTGGAGAACAACATCGACTGGGCTGTCAGCCGGTCGCGCTACTGGGGTACTCCGTTGCCGTTGTGGCGCAACGACGACGATCGCTCCGACGTCATCTGTGTGGAGTCGCTGGCCGAGTTATCCCAGTACGTCGGGCGTGACCTCACCGGGATGGATCCGCATCGCCCGTTTATTGACGAGGTGACCTTCACCCGAGACGGCCATACCTATCACCGGGTGCCCGAGGTGGCTGACGCCTGGCTCGATTCGGGCTCGATGCCCTTCGCCCAGTGGGGATACCCGCATGTGCCCGGTTCGAAGGAGAAGTTCGAGTCCCACTACCCGGGTGACTTCATCTGTGAGGCCATCGACCAGACCCGCGGGTGGTTTTACACCATGATGGCCGTCGGAACCCTGGTGTTTGACGAGTCCTCGTACCGCAATGTGCTGTGTCTGGGCCACATCTTGGCCGAGGACGGTCGCAAGATGAGCAAGCACCTTGGCAACATCCTGTTGCCTATCCCGCTCATGGATTCTCATGGTGCCGACGCGCTGCGTTGGTTCATGGCGGCCGACGGCTCCCCATGGAGTGCACGACGCGTCGGTGACGAGACCATCCAGGAGACGGTCCGCAAGGTTCTGTTGACGTACTGGAATACCGTGAGTTTCCAGGTCCTCTACGCCCGCGCCAATGGGTGGTCTCCAGCTCAAGGCACGCAGCATGATGCCGACCCGGCGAGGGGGTTCGGGGGGGTTGTCCCCCCCGCTGTGGGCTCGAGGGGGTTCGGGGGGGTTGTCCCCCCCGCTGTAACAGAGCGTCACGTGCTGGATCGCTGGCTCGTCAGTGCCACCAATGTGCTGGTACGCGACGTTAGTACTCTGCGTTGATACCACTGCTTTGAGGCGCTGAACAACTTCGACACCCAGCGCGTCGGCAACCTTATTGCTCAGTTCGTCGACGAGCTGTCTAACTGGTACGTGCGCCGGTCCCGCCGTCGCTTCTGGGACGGCGATGAGGGTGCCCTGTGGACGTTGCACGAGACCCTCGAAACCCTCACTAAGTTGATGGCACCGATGGTTCCGTTTATCACCGAGCGGGTCTGGCAGGACCTCTTCGTGACGACAAATCCGCACGGCCCGGAGTCGGTCCATTTGGCAAGTTGGCCGGTGGCCGACGACTCGCTCATCGACGAGTCCCTGTCCGAATCGATGGATCTGGCCCGACGCATCGTCGAGCTGGGGCGCGGTGCCCGTGCAGAGGCCAAGGCCAAGATCCGTCAGCCTTTGTCTCGCGCCCTCATTTCTGGTGCCGCCTTGGCTAAACTGGACGAGGATTTGCAGGCTGAGATCCGGTCTGAGCTGAACGTCATGGCCCTGGATTCCTTTACTGCGGCTGGGGACCTCGTTGATCATTGCGCGAAGGGCAACTTCCGGGCCCTAGGCAAGAAGTACGCTAAAGCCACTCCGAAGGTCGCAGCCGCTATTGCCGCTGCCGATCCCGAGTGGCTTGCCTCCGAACTGGCCATCAAGGGGGTCCGTCGAGATGGATGTACCAGAGGTCGAGGGAGGTAAGGCCGTCGTGACCGCTGACGATGTGATCGTCTCCGAGCGTCCTCGGGAAGGCTGGAGCGTCGTCAACGAGCAGGGTGAGACGGTGGCTCTCGATTTGGAGATTACCCCCGAGTTGGCTCGCGCTGGGCAAGCCCGTGAGGTCATCCGATTCGTCCAGGACAGCCGCAAGAAGGCTGGACTCGACGTTTCCGACCGCATCACCTTGGCGTGGTCTGCTAGTGCAGATCTGGCTACAGCTATCGAGGAGCATGCTGAGCAGATTAGTCAGGAGGTGCTGGCGGTCCAGATGTCGCGTGAGCCCCGCGCCGACGACTGGGCCGTCGAGCCGGACCTAGGACTGGCGGTCAAGGTCGTCAAGGTCTGAGGACACAGACGGTCGCCGTGCCGGCCAGTCGCCAGGTGTGGATCGACGGAGCAATATCGCGACGCGGTACCTCGCGCATCGGCCCGGCTGAGGCTGGGCCGATGGTCCCGTGATTCAGACGGTCTGTTTCGCCATCATCAGCGACAGGATCTCCGGATCGGTCTGTTTCATTCCTTCGGTTCCCAGCCGGCCGATGCCGCGAATCGCCGCGTCGACGTCATCGTGTACCAGCCCGTTCGTTCCAGGTACACGTCGGCCTGCCAGCGAGAGCAAGGCGGCACGGCCGGCTGCATTCGCTGAGGCGGAGACCTTCAACGCACAGCTGCAGCCGGCACCATCGCAGACCATGCCGACGACGTCGCCGGTCATTGATGCGACTGCGCGTTCCACCGCGCTGTAGGAGCCGTCTAACACCAGGCAGATCCCGGCTGCCGCGCCCATCGCTGCTGTGGTCGCGGCACAGAAGGCGGAGAGCACGGGAAGCCCGGCGTGGGCGTAGAGCGCGACGGCGTGAGAGAGGGCCAGGGCGCGCACGCGCCGTTCGTGGTCGACACCTGCGTAGTCCGCCGCGACAGTGACTGGGACGGTGGCGACGATGCCTTGGTTGCCTGATCCACTGTTGGTCATTGCCGGCAAAGGGGGCACCGCCCATTCGTGCGTCTGAGGCGGCTGCAGTGTATGCGGTCATGCGTGTGCACAGGTCGTCTGAGGCCATGCCGCGGTCGATCGATCCGAGTATGGCGGCACCTTCACCAATCCCGTAGGAGCCGTCTCGTCCAGCATCGACCAAGGCGCTGTTGAGGCGTTCGGCTTCGGTAATGAACTCGATGCGCTCAATATCCACGGTGGTAGCGAAATCGTAGATCTTGGCCAGACTGAGGCCTTGGAGGAGTGCGGCCGTCGGGGGGACGTGGCCTGCGGCTGGGCGTTCCTTGCTCTCAAGGACTTCGTCGTCGCGGCTGACAAGGAATACGTTTGTGTGGTCGCCTGCAATGCAGGCTCGAGCGTGGTGACCATCGAGGTGAAGGACGGTTTCGGCATAGAGGTCATCGTCCACATCGGCCACAGTGAGTTCGACGGCTCCTGAATCGACTAGGTGACGCGCCTTCTCTGCCGCGTCTTCGCTGACGTCGGCCAGGACCGCTAGCCCCGCATCGGGGTTGCCTGCGAGGGCTCCCACCGCTGCGGCGATCTCGAGGCCGGGCCGTCCGGTGCCGGGGACCATGACGGCCATGCCGTTCTTCATAATGTTGGGGGATACCCGAGCGTCAATGTGGAGAGAGTCGAGTTGTTTCGCGTCGCTTCCAAGAGCTCGTTTGGCGCGCGCTGCGGCATAGGCCAAGGCAATCGGTTCGGTGCAGCCGGTGGCTGGGGTCACGCCCTGGTGGAGGGCCTCAATGAGGTTGTTGATCTCAGAGGGAGAAAGCGGGGTTTGACATCGTGTTTTCTGCATCGAGTCGGCATTCCGGACTCCTTCGGTCGCCAAGGGTGTCATGATCAACCTTTCTGATAAGAATTAGCTGAAAGCCAGGAATGGCGAGACAACTAGAAGAATTCCTGTTGCGATAATGAGAATTAGACTCGGGCGTCGGAATTTGTGAAGTGAGGGAACTTTAAATACAAGATACGCTGGGATGAGGCAACCGATCATGCCGAAGATGGGACTGCAGATGGAGGTGAAACTCAGCACAGGGGCATTGAGGAGGATAGCACCCCACGACACTAGGATTGCAAAGACGAGGATGGACCATGAAACAATTTTCTTGTTGATTCTCTCCTCGGGGATGAGGCGGCGTAGCACGTTCATCGCAATTCCTTGGCATGCCTCACGGAAGCCGAGGAACACCCCGAAGTACGCCGTCATTACGGCGAAGATGTTGAGAATCAAGGAGAAAATCTTGACGGTCGTGCCTCCCATGCCCTGGGCCACCATCGCCAAGGTCGAGATGTTTTGATTGTAGGCTTTCACCGCTACGTCATGTCCCATGGTTAAGTTGAAGGAGATGGCATAGAAAAAGACTGTGATGAACAGTACGCTGAACGCGATGTTCATGGAGCGCAAGGCCTTGTGACGTGCTACTTCGATTGACCTGTAGTGGGCCCGGTAGGAGATGACCATCGGGCTGAGTGACTGGATGAAGAGTATCGAGGTCAATGTGAATGGGAGCATGATGATGGTCTGTTTCACCAGGTAGCCCAAGCTCGGGAAGGCCCCGACGTTCGCCAGGTTCCAGCTGCCGATGATCGCGAGGCCGAGGAAAGTCACGACAGACAGTTTCGTGAGTACCATCACCGTCGAGATTCGGAAAAGGATCTTTTCCGCTCGTGAGGCGATCGCCACCATGATGCAGATGACAACCAGACCATAGAACGGATTGTGCGACCACACAGTTTTGGTCACTCCGAAGGAATGGAGAAAAGAGGCGGAATCGTTGGTGAGGGCTGTCGAATAAATAAATACCCAGATCACCAACATGATGAAATAGAGGATACCGATAAAAAAGCCCCAGTTCTTTCCCAGATAACCTGAGATGACGCTTGGGTAGTCCTTGCATTCGGGTGATTCGGCCAAAGTGTTAATAAATAGCCTCTGGAACAGGTACATCGCGGGATAGGCGATCACCGATGAGACGAGGAAAACCCACAATCCGACTAAGCCGACCTTCACTGGAAGAAATACAATACCAGCACCGATAGCCATGCCGATGCTCATAATGATCCAGCCCCAGTCGGTGCTGTCAAATTTGATGGCTTTTCGCCATTCCTGCTCGGTCATACTGGCAGGTCGGTCAACAGTGACCAATGTATTCATGGGAATCAACTTCGTCGAGATTCGGATTTTTGATGATGTTAGCATACTCCTTACCCTGCATCGAACAGGTAGTCGTGGAGGTGTCCATGATTATCCAGCAGGGACGTAAGGGAAGTGGCACGTCAGTCACGGAGTTTGGACTTACTAGCGTCCGTACGATTTCCTGGAGGGGGCGAGGAGTGGGCGAGTGATCTGAGGAGTCACGGCCTGTTGTCGGGCCCAAGGTTCAGGCGTGGGACAGTTCAGTGTCGTCGTAGTTCTCCACACCGAGCTGGTCGAGGACTCGAGACATCGTCCTGGCTACCGCCAGCGTGTCGTCGAGTGGCATCGTCAGGCTCTCGGTGCGTCCGGCTCGCAGACATTGGCAGACCTCCATGAGTTCGTGAGCGTAGCCGCGGCCCAGCGCGGGGGTGTTGTGGATCTCCGGGATGACTCCGCGGCGGTGGATGAGGATACGGCTGGGGTGGTGGAACCTAGGCTCGACCTCTATCCAGCCGTCGGTGCCTTGAATAGTCATGCGTCCCGGACCGTCGGAGGTGAACGAGATGGCCAGCGTGGCGAATTTGTTCTTTGGGAAAGTCAGCAGCATCGAAGCGTCGGAATCCACCCCATTGGGGAAGTGGTTGCCACGGGCGATGACCTCGGTGGGCTCTCCAAAGAGGCGAATGGCGAAATCGAGGGCATAGACGCCGAGGTCAAGGGTTACTCCACCACCTAGAGCTGGGGAGAAGAGACGGTCGTCAGGGTCATAATCGCGCAGGGCGAACAAATCTCCCTGGATACCCGTCGGCTCGCCGATCGCGCCATTGTTTACGGCGTCGATCATCTCGGTAACGACAGGCAAAACCGGGTCCACATCCCCTCCATGGCAAAGACCCTTTTAGCCCGAGCAGCCTCAGCTATTTCGGCAGCCGCATGGGCAGTTGCGGCGAAGGATTTCTCGACGAGAACAGCCTTCCCGGCGTCAATGGCAGCCAGGGCGATCGGTCGATGCTGAGGGTGCGGGGTTGCCACGTAAACGACGTCCACTGTGGGGTTGGTGATCATGTCGACATAGGAATCATGAGTGTCTGGGCGGGGACAACTCAGGTTCTGAGTAACCAGATCGGCAAAAGCATCGGCGCGGGCTGCCGACCTTGACGCGATAGCGCAGATGCGTGCTCCCGGGACATGTGCGAAGTCTTTAAGAATCGTGCGAGCGATACGTCCAGTGCCTGCGATTCCCCAACCGATGGTGGTCGTGGTGTCCATGGGGTAACTCTAGAGTAGGTGTATGCGATATCATGGTCCATCGTGCAGTCAGTTTGACTATTTGGTCCCTTGTCAAAAAGCATCCGTATCGCGTACCGTGAGATTCGTGGAAAGCAATGAAGCTGACGATTGGACGCTCCAGGCAAATTGCCGCGGTATGGCAGATGCCCTCTTTCCGGATGGAAAAGAGCAGCGCCGAGCTAGGCGTATCTGCACTGACTGCCGCGTCCGTCCGGAATGCCTTGCTGAAGCCCTGGATAACCGGCTTGAGTGGGGGGTCTGGGGCGGTATGACCGAGCGTGAGAGGCGACGCTTGCTGCTTGAGCGTCCAGACGTGACGAGTTGGCGCGATGTGCTGCTCGCTGACCGGGGAACTCTGACGAAGACGGCTAGGGTGAAGTCATGACCCGATGGGAGTACTTCACAGCACCGATTCTGGTGCACGCTTCGCAGCAGATCCTCAATAACTTTGGAGCCGACGGTTGGGAACTTGTTCAGATCGTCGCCGGCCCCAACCCCGATTCGCTAGTGGGCTACTTCAAACGTCCGCTGCCTGACCAGGAGGAACCCCGATGAGCGCCACAACGAGGTGTGCCGAATTGGGGATTACTCTTCCTCCAGTTGCGGCTCCGGTTGCCGATTACGTGCCGGCCATTCAGACCGGATCACAGATTCTTACCTCCGGTCAGCTACCCTTCGTTGATGGTGAGTTGACTGCCGTTGGCAAGGTGGGAGACGCCGTTTCCGCTGAGCAGGCCGCTGAGGCTGCCCGCGCCGCTGCTCTTAACGCCATCGCTGCGGCAGCTGACGTGGCCGGTGGGTTGGACGCCATTAAGCGGATTGTCCGAGTGGTCGTCTTCGTCAACTCCGCCCCGGACTTCACCGGTCAAGCTGGGGTAGCCAACGGCGCGTCGCAGCTGCTTGGCCAGGTCTTCGGCGAGCATGGCCGACACGCCCGCAGCGCCGTCGGGGTGGCCACCCTGCCACTCGGATCAGCCGTCGAGGTCGAACTGACCGTCGAAGTCTGATCGCGCCGGTTCCAGAACAACACTGTGGGGGCCAGGCGTTAACGCCTGGCCCCCACACTTGTGGATGTGAGGTGCCGCGAACTCAGTTGGCCCGCGATGCCAGCTTCTCCGGCTCCATGATGGTGACAACCTTGGGTCGCGCTGCGATCCATCCCCGAGCGGCGAAATCCGTCAGCGCCTTGTTGACGGTCTCTCGGGAGGAGCCGACGGCCTGGGCGAGCTCGTGCTGGGTGAGGTCGTGACGCACCACGATGTGCCCAGTTGACGGGTTCGCGGTACCGAAGCGTCGTGCCAGGTCGAGCAGGGTGTACGCCAATCGACTTGGGACGTCACCGGAGACAAAATGGGCGGTGTTGTCGTCGGCTCGACGCAGGCGCTCCGACAGGCGTCCCAACATAGCCAGGGCGACGTCGTGACGGCCTTTAACGAGCTCGCGCATCTGCGCACCCGGAGTCTTGAGCAGGCTGCAGCGGGTCACAGTGGTGGCCGTCGTGGAGCGGGTGCCGCCGTCAACCAGCGACAGCTCCCCAAACATGTCACTGGGGCCCATAAGCCACAACAGGGAGTCGCGGGGAGTGAGGTCATCGGCAGTTGTGGAGCGAGTGAGCTTCACCTTTCCTTCGACGACGAGGTACAGGTTGTCAGCTGAGTCTCCGGCCTCGAAGATCACGGTATTTCGCGGGCAGACTGACGCCTCACACATGGCCATGATTCGGGCGGCCGAGGCTGCGCCGAGAGTTGCGAAGAACGGTTGGGTCGCCGCTGTTGCCACCACATTTGCCATCCGAACATCTCCCCTCATGAGCACGTGCATCGTTCGACCATTCGTGGCCGGGCGTGTGCCTACATTGTGGCAGCTGTCACATTCGGTGCTGACACCGGGCCTCGATTCTCCTCCTATGCTTAGCTCCATGGCAGCATCCCCTAGCGCATCTCGACCTCAACGGGAGGACTGCCGCGCGTGCGCCAACGAGGTGCGAGCACTCCTTGCCAAGGCCTATCCAGACGCTCACTGCGAGTTGAATTACGCCGGTCCGTACCAATTGCTCGTTGCCACGGTGCTGTCGGCCCAAACGACGGATCGGCGAGTCAATACCGTCACACCCACGTTGTTCAACCGTTGGCCTGGCCCCCAGGCCCTGGCCGATGCTGACATTGGTGAAGTCGAGACAGTAGTCGCCCCGCTGGGATGTGGACCAACCCGAGCAGCGCGCCTGGTGTCGATGGGCGCGAAGCTCGTCGACAATTTTGACGGTGCCATCCCTGACGATCTTGACTCTCTTGTGACCCTGCCCGGAGTCGGTCGTAAGACCGCCAATGTTGTTTTAGGTAATGCCTTCGGCATCCCCGGAATCACCCCGGACACCCACGTCATGCGGGTATCTCGACGTCTGGGCTGGACCG